AATTTTTTGCTGCTGTGGGCTTAATTTTCGTTTGACTTGTATATACCTATCAATACCCGTTTGAGTCAATGTACGGGTTGTTGGATTAAGTAGGTCAACTTGCGCTGAGCTGCGTTGCTTGGCTTGGGCTGGTGCCGAAATTTTCGTTTGTGCAGGTGGGTGAACTGCGTTGGAAACCGCTGTCATTGCTGAAGTCGTGGTTGTAGTCGTTGTTGTGAGAGCTGCGCTTACCGTTGTTACTGTGCTTGTTGCTAAGCTAGTGCTTTGTTGTTGCGTTAGAACAACTTGGTCTACCAGAGACATTGGCGACTGTGCATGCCAAGGTGTTTGGGGGGAGGGAGAGAACGATTTATCGCGATCAGCATTGTTTGTGGGGGAAACGAACGAAAAGTAAGCATTTCGTCGATCAGCTGAATGCTTTTGGTCAGCTTCTGTTACGGCAAGGTTTATTTCACTGCACTTGGTGCTTGTTTCACTACTATTCGGTAAGCGCGGTGGGGCCGGAGCTGCTTTTATTTTATTGTATGTTGGCACATTTATTTGAATTTCTCGCGGCATTGCAAAAATTCTGAAGAAGTAATTTATAATTCTAGGCAAATAAGCAGAAAGCTTATTTATGCCTAGTATTGTCTTTTCGCGTTGGTTCTGTTTTTTTTCTTTGCTTTACGTGAATTATTAATAATTTCTCGGCGGAGCGATTAAAAAACACGTCCGCACAGGTTGACAATCAATCACACTTCCAAAATGATTTAAAAAATTCAGTGAAATGTGCTTAGAAGTATGGGTTTCAAGTTAGAGCACATTCTGTAGAATTTAATCAGATTCAATTTTTTGGTGCATAAGGGCTGGTAAGTATTGAAAATGTCCTTTTAAAACTTTATTCTTGAAATTTCGCAATATTTGTTTTTGTAAAAATTATATGTTAAAGACTTATAACTCGATAACATCCTCAAATTTCGCCCTTCTAAATTTATCAGCTAAAAAAATTACCAATTCGTCCTTGTGAATCCAAAAAATTTAAATTTTTTTAAATTCTAAAGTAATTTCCTCTTTTATTTGGTACCCATATTTTTATTCTATATAACATTGAATTTTTTAAATAATTTTTGGAATTATTCATATCTTTGAAATNAAATTACCAATTCGTCCTTGTGAATCCAAAAAATTTAAATTTTTTTAAATTCTAAAGTAATTTACTCTTTTATTTGGTACCCATATTTTTATTCTATATAACATTGAATTTTTTAAATAATTTTTGGAATTATTCATATCTTTGAAATTACAAAGTCCTTTAAAATATATCCTGACGTCAGTTATCTCTGACGCCAAAGCCACTTTAAATAAAAAAATTAGGTTTCAAAGCCATTTATTTATTATTTATTTTATGGTAGAAGAGATAGAAGCAATTTTTTCAATTTAAGTTGATGAAAAGTAATGAATATCTAAATACCGGGACTAATCCCGGGATTTATTGTGATAACGACATCCCAAAAATCTCGGGATCCTAAAAAGCGAAAAAATTATCATCCCTAGTTCATACACTCGAAGCAGAATTATTTCAAAGTGTATGAACTAAAGGTAGGCGGGGTAATGAAAATTTGCAACACTGTTGCAACTGCCCAACTGTCAATACGTTGCTAGAAATTCACACCGAACGTGGTACTCTAATAATTCAAGCAACACTGCGGTTGTGATTGCAACTCGAACAAGCCCAGGGCTCGAATCGTAACATCCGTTCACGGATCGAAAACGATACGAAAGAAAATTACGTGATACGTCAGGCAGTATAAACTAAAGGGGACAAAGAGTACGTTCACGTATGTCATAATCCGAAAAATGTGTTTTTACGTGACGAGTAGTACGATATCGTATGTGACGATTCGAGCCCAGATTCATGGGCTTTGCTCAACCGAAAACACAAGACAGATAACACATGCGAAAGGAAAAAAGTGTTCTGCGCAGTACGAATCAAGTATGTTTCGTTTTTTATTTTCTGTTAGTGAGCAGACAGCATTGGAAAAATAACGGACGTTGGGATAAGAAAACTATCTATCATGTGGCCCGTGCGAATCTTTTTAAAAGCCGCCTCGCTGGAACCACTCGCGCATTCCATCGGGGTGAGGCCGTGGCATAAACATACTCCACGTCATAACGCCCTTTCCATACCCCCCCGTCCACTTATGCGATTAGGAGTTAGGAGCGCTCTGGTGCTCATAAGGTTTTCCTCCGAAGAAATGCAAAAGATTAAAGAAGAAACAAGAAAAAGAAGAAATTATTAAATAAAGCAACTTCAGCTATTTCCTCTTTCTAAGCGGCGGCGTTGCTCTCTGATTCGAAAAATGTGTCAACAGTTATTTGCGAGCTCTGAGTACTTATAATCCGTCTCCTTAAATGCATCAATGCAAATCGGACTCTTTTTTTTTTCTATATATGCGTGGTTGCGCATATTGAAGTCATACATACAGTATCTGTCATATCTATAGCACGCCATTTCAAAGTGATATTGTGTGCCACTTATGTTTATTTATTTATTTTTAAGAATTTTCAATTAAAATATAGTTCCTTCTCTAACAAAACCCATATAAATCCAAGTTTAACAATTTGTAGAATACTACAAAAAAGTGCAACAAATTTTCATATAAATTTCAAACTTTTTTCTCGGAAGTGTTAGAATTTTTCTGAATACACAGTTTTATAGCCCAATCAATTTTAGTCTGCCAATGTGCAAGTTTCAAGTGGCTAAAGGTGACCGTTGATTTTTTAGAATTTTTTTCGCAAAGGTGTTGTTGTTTTTTCCATATACAAATAAATTGAGTTTATTCATTATATGGAAGCCAATGCGACAAAAAAAATTCTAAAAAATTAACGGTAATTCGTAGCCACTTAAAATTTGCACATTATTGGACTAAAATTGTAGGAGCTAAAAAACTGTGTACTCAAAAAAATTCTAACACTTCCGAGAAAAAAGTTTGAAATTTAGATGAAATTTTGTTGCACTTTTTTGAAGTTTTCTACAAATTGTTAAACTTATATGGGGTTTGTCTGAGAATGAACTAAATTTTAATTGAAAATTCTTAAAAATAAATAAATAAACATAAGTGGCACACAATATCACTTTGAAATGGCGTGCTATAGATATGACCGATACTGTATGTACGAACATACATATTGAAGGCAAAGGAATATTCTCCTCAACCGAAATTTTTGTAAAAAAATATGAATCTTACGTCAATTTTGAGCAATTCAGCTCCAGTTAATACTGAAATATAGCAGCTGTTGAATTGCTCACAAAAAAGTGCAATTTCGTAAATAGTCCACGCCTATCACCTTGGACCTTAGTTACATCAATTCTTACTCGAACTATCGTGTTCACAGAAAAACATGGCTCAATCGATTTCTCACTTCATTCTTAGCATTTCGTTAATATAGGCTTGTTGTGAATGGTTTTAATCTTATTGCCGTTGCTTCGATGTATAAGTTTAGGACCTTATTATATTTAATAAAAGTTTAATGAAAGGTACTAAGTAATTTCGATGAATCAAAACATTATGATATACATACCTACTGATTTCTAAAAAAATCTGGCAACCCTTCTAGAAAAGGGACATTGCGTTTCTAGTGATTTAAACGTGTGTGTGTGTGTACATATCAAAAAAGAATAATAAGTAGTAGAAAAGGAACAGCTTGGATGTCGCAAGTCAACACATAAAAAAACATGAAAATGGCAAGACCGAAACATTACGAAAATTTCTTATGTATGCTTTTTGCTTTTCACTTCTGTACTTATATTTTTCACTTTTTGTTTACCAAATGGCAATTTATCCTTTTAAAGCGTAGAAAATTCCTCTTAAAACGTTTTCGTATACGCTACTTACTTACTTCAAAGTAAAATGCCATAACGAAACGCCAAATGTTCGATAACAACGACATACACAAGAAAAATTACCTAGACCACAAATAAAACACTCATACATATCACACGAGTATCTTTTTCATCTTTTCGAAAAAATTCCAAAAGAGCCAATGCACATATAACATTTTTCAATCTCGGGGTCTGGGGAAAGGTAGCTCGAAATACTTGAATACACAAATTGAATTCAATTGGTTAGTGTTATACGTACACATAACCAATATGAAAATATAATTTAGGGCGTGCATATCGCCCATATCGTGAAAGGATTTACATATAAACAAGAAGTCGTTTTTTTACTTCATAATTTTTCGGAATATTTGTCAAAATAGAATTCACGATAAGGCGGAATGTTGAAAAAATTTAATAAAAACACAAAGTACCCTAATTCGGAGGGAAAAAAAGAATTAAGGCGTTTATAAAGATAAATAAACTTGTTTTAAGAAAAATTAATGCGACGAAAATCGTGGAAAACTATCCAGTGCTGCCAAGTTTTTCCGTTTTAATACACTAGTCGAGTCGAAATTGTTATTTATTACGGCAGCGCATCTCCTTGACAAGCACTGAAATAGACTGCGGCAAGTCAGGTTAAGCTCGTACCTGAGCAGATTATGTATTCGCAGATGTGCCCAACGAGTGCCCGGCATGCGGAGAGACACACGACGACTCGAGACATCTTCTTAACTAACGCCCCTGTCCCTATGGAGAGACCCTATAGAAGTATCTTGGACCTCCCGTTAGTTGAGCTTAACGACAACCATTGGGAGACTAGCCGATATGGGCGGGGTTGTTGTAGCCGCTAGAACAACTGCGGCAAGTGCTCTTTGGTTAGACGACCAGCCGTATAGGACTGGACTTTCTCCCGAAACCCCGTTTTGCCTTTTGGTTTAACTGATTTCCTTTAACAGTTTTCCATAAATACTCGACAGGCCTTAGATCTTATGCATTATATTAACAAAACCATATTCATTTCTAGCACAGATTTTTATATGTATCTGATTTCATTGTCAGATCCACTATCAATATACATAATATTAGTTTAAATATGCACATGTTTATGTATTTATATAATTGTAAATTACCTTTTCAGGATACATATTTCGGAAAGGAAGGATGAAAATAACTGTTTCCAAAATAAAACCTGTTCCTGGGAAACAACAAGAGATGGGTACAGAGTCAGTATCTCAGAGCTATCTCGTTGAACTCTCTGTCCTGGCTCCAAATGGTCAAGATTCCATCGGAGATGAAATGCGTGTCTTTGCTGAGCAATTAAAACCCTTGGTCCAGTTGGAGAAGATAGATTACAAACGGCTTGGAGGTTTACCATAATTAAGTTTCCGTTTCGGCTAGACACTTACGTAATAACTATCCGTTTTATTTTAGCAGATTCCGAACGAACTATGCGTACAATGCCCCAATTGCTCGTGCCCTACGCGAACTAAACGAGATCTCTTAATTCTGTTGAACTTGATCTTTCAGTTTCTAAATTAAGCTTTTCGTCACAACTAAACTCTTACTTTAAATAAACAAAATTTTATAATGGTACTTTAGTTATAAGTAGTCAGTAAAAACGTATGTTTCTTGACTTATGAATGAAATAAAGATTGTTGAAATAAGATATTCGTATTTAAACAAAAAAAAAATATATATATATATATATATATGTATATATACATATGTATGTACACATATAAGTATATGGCATGATGCAATAATACAAGGTGTTATCGGTTAGCAACTTCTCGCTCTAATTCCGCCATATTGACTGCCTTAGGTGAAACAGTGTTACTTCTTTAACAATTCTTTGCCTAATAATATAGTTGAATTTTTGTTTTTCTCAGTATACACATTTTGTGTTCTCAAAAAGGTATTTTATCTTATTTTATTTTATTTCATTACGAATATACTATAAATCAAATTTTGTTTAGATGAAAATATGAAATTTTATATTTTTTCCCCAAATGGGGATTAATTTCTTCCCCTTCTTCTTATTCTACTGAGCTAAGGCAGTGTCAAATCGAGCTGTCACAACTGATACCATCTTGTATTATTGCATCATGAGTATATGGGGTATTTCATCGTCACGGTCGGACATTTTTACAGCAAAAACTAATTTTTCTTTTTTTTAAATTTAATTATTAATGGGTCGTATGAATTAAAACTAAACAATTGCATTTTTTTTTAATTTCAAGAGAATAAAACGAGAAAGCTGTTTTATTACTTCACCTTTCAACAGAAGTTGTCAAAAAATGGGGAAAACCGTGACTATGTAAACTTTTTTCGCAATTTTTGCCAATTTTTTAAAGTAAAAATTTTATCTTTTAGAAAAAATTGGAACGTCCGAACGGGAACGTCCGAACAACTTTGAACAGTTTTTGGCAGCAACTAAACATCGTTAGGAAGTTTAAGTTGACGCAATGGTTATGGCTGCTTATTATTCTAACAACCATTCATATATCGTTGTTTTGCACCATTAACAGATTCGCAGAATTTAGCAAAAATCATCAATCATCTTCGATACGAGTTCTATTTTGGGAACTCCGAACGGGAACTTTTAATCACTATACACTTACCATATAACATTTGTGGAAAATCTTTTTACTGATTTCATATTGATGATGACTACTCATGACAAAAAAATTTTCTTCATTCAGAGCCTACTATAGTGTTTATAATAAAAAAAAGTGTCTCCAAACGGAACGTCCGTAACGCAGGAAACATACATGTATATATGTACCAAAGAGCTGCGCTAAACCTTCTAAAAGGCACACTTCACTACTTTGCAGTACTTCCAAGCAGTGTACATCAATAAAGCGTTGACATCAACATAAAATGTTCTATAGCAGGCTGCGCAACAAAACAAACACTTCAGCATTCGAAGTAGAGTTTCCCACCAAACAATTTGTGTTGCCGGTAATAAGAAAACGTGTCGCCCTCGGAAACAAATTTATTGCCGGTAATATTGCCATCGAATCGATTTCCTATTACCGGTCGCTCTAAAACGTCCGCCGAAGGCAACTCGCCTGGGCGAGTCGTTTTCTTATTACCTGAATGAGTCCTTTTCTTATCGCTTCAGGCGATATTTGGAATAATTTTATTCTTTTTAATACCTCATTTATTTTTTCATTATTTTCTCGCTGTGAGACTTCCTATTTTTTCAATCTTGTCCTTGGGCATAATTTAGACGCTTTTGGCCAATACTATTGACGCCATATTCATAAGTTTCGGAATTTTTGAGAACTTTTTTATTCAAAATTGACATGAACGAAGTGATGTTGCCGATTTGTCACCACAGCAATAAATCGGTGAGTCGCCAATTTGTTGCCATTGACGATTGTTGCCTATTTCTCATGTTTTGCATGGTGGGTTGCTACAGGGTACAGGGAAGCACATATATATGTGAAATGTGGGCAAAAATAGAATTATGGACGGATTTAAATGAAAATTCGCTTCTTAGTGAAATTAAGGACGCTGAATTCAAAAATGCAATTCGTTTTAGCATAACTTTCATACTTTCACTGTAAATGCTGTTTGAAGTTGAAAATTTGTGTTCTTGTGACATTTACATAGGTATGTACATATAGTTCGTTCTATTTTCGAAAGTGCGGTGTCAAATGACAGGGCTTGGCCTGCAGATATGCAATAAAGTTTTATTTTTTTGAGACGGGTTGCCACTTGTTACTAATTTTATTAAAATTATCTAATAGTTAAATGAACTAGATATTATAATATGGGTATCAATCGAAATGATTTTGAAAATGCTTTACTTTTAAACGACACGTAGATGGGTTGCCACATGTTTACAAAATCAAATTCACTTTAATTAAGGGAACAAGGTAACTGAAATGCATATATCAATATGAGTATTGTACTAAAGAAAAAATTGGACATATTAAGCAAGAAATAAATGAAGAGTAAAAACATCCCTTAGTTAATTTAAGAGTCCAATAATTCAAAAGGAATGTAATCGGAACAAATCACTGACTGACCCTGTATGTACTTGTAGTAAAATAACAAATACGATGTCGTGAACCTTTCGTTTGACACAATTAATATTTTAGTTTAACTAAATTTGACATTGCAAACAGATGGCAACCCTCTTCGTAATATTTGCAAGCTAAAACCTTCTTGAAACCTCTTTCATCTGACTCCCATATGGTGATACCTATCTATTTCAATAACCTAATTCCTTTAATTCCAATGGAAGTTGATTTTTTAGCAGGGGGCAACCCTCTACATGTAGTTAAGAAAAACCCTTTTCATACTCATTTCTGCTGATACCAATCTGTTAATAATTTATTTAACTTATTAAAAAATTTTAGTTAAATTTTTTAACAGGCGGCAACTCTTAAAAAAAATAAACCTCTATTGTCTGTCTACAGGCCAAGATTTTTAGTCTGACACTTGATTTGTGAAAATGCAACGAATGGTTCAGAGCTGATGGCACAGACAAAAAATTTTAAAATGATTTTATGCATTAGCAAAAAACGCAGTACTTCAAAAAGTGCAAAAAATTAGCAGGTTTTTATTCTTTCGAAAGCTAAAAACCCGTACTATTTAATAAAATAATAAAAAATAACATATTTTTACATATATTTTTTATTCATTCCATTAAAATTTACCATTTTTTGAAATTTTGATTAAAAAAATGTTTTTTCTTAAATACCGCAGGGACACCCTGTGTTTAATTTTATTCCAAAATTTTTAATCCTGTAGCTCTCTACTATCTATGTGAAAATAAAAGACGTCAAACCAACATTTTATTTCAAAGAATGTATTTTTGACATTTGTTTCTGTGAAGAGCTTCTACATGGCTATGCTCTAATTAATATTCTTTGTATAAAATGTGTCGGCTTTAGTGGTTTCCTGGCGGCATATAATTCATTTTATAGGGAAATTTAATTTTAATTTAATTATTTTTAGTGGATAAATTACCTTTCCATAAATACCAAACACATTGCAGACAACGATTTTTTCGATTTTTGCCCACTTAGGCGGGACTGTGCAGCGGCGACAGCGCTTGAGTTCTATTGTGAAGCAAAATGTACGTCCGTCACGCTAGCTGACCCACTTCNTCATTTTTTGGAGAAGTGGGTCAGCTAGCGTGACGGACGTGCAAAATGTAAAACCAAAAAGAAGGGTTGAAGTAAAATAGCGGCAAATCATAGCAAGTACGCCGAGGGCACTAGAACATTTGCATGTATGTATGTCAACAAATGAAAGTGGTATACTTGTACCTGCGTGCATATGAGTATGGAAATGAATATGAACTTTGTGTTTTTTTAAATTAAAAGTGGACTGTTTTTATTATAATAATATCTAGTTTTAAGTTTTTCCATTAACTTAATTTTATCTTATTTAACCGAATAAAAATTATACACCCCGCTATAAAATGATACTTGCACCCGGTATGGGCTATTTATTTTTAAATTAGTTTTAATTAGATTTTTTTTAAGGAAAATTGTCTAACCAAAACCATATAAATCCAAATTTCAAACTTTGCACAAAAATTAAAAGAAATCAGCAGTTCCATCAAAATTTCAACACGTTTTTTTAGAATTCTTATACAAATTTAAAGTATTCAGTTTTATAGCCCTTTCAATTTTAGTATGTACAATAAAGTGCATGCTTGAAGTGTCTACAAAATACCGTCGATTTTTGGTAAATTTTTTACCGCGGGGTTTACATACATAGATATGTAAACGAATATGTGCCTTGTTTTTTTGTATTAAATAAAAAGTGGATTGTTTTTTAACCGACTTCCAAAAAAGGAGGAGGTTATCAGTTCGCCGGAATATTTTTTTTTTTTATGTATGTTACCGCATAACTTTGGACTACGTCAACCGATTTCGATAATTTTTGCATCGGAAAGGTAGTGTCTCAGAGTTGGTCCCATACTAATCTGGTTAAGGTCAGAACAGCGGATCATGAGATATATACATATATATATATTTTTTATATGAGAGTTGAAGTCGGTTTTTTTTTTGCTAAAAATTACTTGTTATAATTATTTACACGTAATTAATAAAAACGCATATTTTAAAACTGTGTAGTTTTTTATGTAAATACATAAATATGTATGTAAGATCAGGCAAACTCGCGGATGCGTAGCCAAAAACAAGACAAAACAAGTAAGAAAGTCTTAATTTCGAGCGGAGCCGAACATTAAAAACCCGGCGCAAGTACTAAATATATGTTTTTTTCACCTTTCCGAAAGCTACCGCTACATGGTAAG